TGAGATGCTCCAAAAATCCAAAATCAAAGTGTCTCAAAAGTTGCTCCAAAATCTCCGCATTGCATTTCGTATCTTCTACAAGAAGTTGTTGCATGTATTAATTACCCAACCGAAGAACCTTTTTTCATTTTTCCTTGACCCCTGAGCACTTAATATATGCTTAGTCTCACACCCGCTGTGTCTGCTATCTGGCTGTGTGGCATTAACTCTTCGGGGTCACTCGAGCATGAGTGGCCCGCGAACAGGCTCCCGGCGAGGACGGAAAGAATATTTTGCGAGCGCGAAACAGAAGAATTCGGAGAGCAAAGCGATCGGGGCGGGACAGAGAAGCCTGTAGATTTTGTTTTTGATGTGCCTGTCTGCCCTTGGTGATTAGCCCGTAAAAGTCACTCAATGAGGTAATTAGACCTGTCAAGAAGCTACATTTTCTGTACTGGACAACAACTCTGTTCTAATCAAACAACCGGACCCTCCGTCATAATATGGGGTGCAAGTAAGCAACATGTCCAAGGAATATTTCAAACTTTGTCCCTCCAGAGCCAACATTTGGAGAGCTTACAACATATTTTGCTGTATTGAAATGAGCCTTAAAGAAATTATAAGGACATGATAGACGTATCAAACTGCGAGACGACATGCAGATAACAGCGGAAAGTCCGGAAACATTGCCTTTGACCTCCAAAAAAATTTGCTATAGCACAGCCAAACGGCTTCACTCTACTTAAAATTCATCCTCATAACACAGCGTTAAGTGCCCTTCGGGACCATTGTGAAATAATGAAAGGTCCCTCGCTTCGTTGGGGCTCACCGGGAGCCTGTTCGCAGGCTACAGCATGAGGAGCCGCACTCCGCTATTTTGTTGTCAACACACCGCTGATCACTTGAATCACCTTTTTCAAACCACAGGCAAACCAATGCAGCTCAATGCGGAAAATGCACCACAATGTGTAAAACGGCGGCGGTTGTGACCAAAAAAGCGAAAAAAGTGCTTCATAAGTCTTTCATATGCCAGTTTGGTCTGTTATAATTTTGCAGTATTGTCTTAGAACGCAAGAAGTTGCCCCGAATTGGAAAGTCGCCCGAAATCGAAAAAGTTGCCCAAAAGTTGGCCGAGTATCTTCAGGACAGCTCTACCCGTAGTGCCCACGGGCCAATTACGGGTCAGCAAAAACAAAGCCATATACTAAACAACTTATTAACCTCGAACGTTCGGTCTTTGCGTGAAAATCTCAGACCTCTGCCTTGCCGTATTGACCTCGCTATCGCTCGGTTGGTATATTCCCATAAAAACCTCACTCTCGGTTAATAAGTAGTGAGTCATTTACAATTTTGCCCTCATACTATCTGT